CCTGTTTTCTTCTCCTAAAAAATTGGTGCATCTTATGGAGCGAAAAATACGGTACTTGGATGTCAGGATGGGAAAAATGCATTATTAAAATTGATGCATACCTTTACTGTGTCCTAAAAGAAAATCCTGTATAATAAACTTAAACCATCAAAAATATTTCTAAATCAAGACATCACTGCTCCAGTTTTCTCACTCAGATAACATAAGAGGTATTATCTTTCTTCAGGGACTAGAGTTAAATCAAACAACACAAAAGAGACAAAACAACACCAGAACACAATCTGTTTTCCTCATTTCCTTCTGTTTCAGATTAAAAGGAATGCGGTGTGTGAATGGGTATATGTGTGTGACATTTAATTGACATAAATGGTAATAATATGTTGGTTGCAAGAGTCACCATTTGCCACTTCATTAGTAAGAAAGCAACTTTGCTTCATAAGGCAACCTTCTTAATTAAAAATCAGTCAAGCCAAACTTATGCTTTCTCATCCATCAAAGTTTCCATTACAGTCCAGATGCTTTTTTGGGACACAATGACATGTTGATTAATTAAATACAACACAGATATCAATGTACTATGGCTCAACAATTACAGTTAGCTTAAAACTTTATTTCTGATGGGGTTTTTTTTACCACCTTGCATGCTGCCTGTAAAAAGTGTGCCTGGAACCTTTCTGAGCTATCATGAATGTCAACCAATTTTTCCTTCCCTCCTCTGAATTCAAATAGAACTCTGCTAAGTGTTTCCTTCCCTCTTTTTCATTGGTTGGAAACAGCATTTGTCTGCTTTTGATCTGTCCACAACTGTAAGTATTAAAATGTTTTTATTATTTTTCCTAGAAATGTCTCAGAGTGAGTTATTGAGACTTTAAGTTCTAGTTAATGAGAAAAGGGTGGACTATCTGTGGAACTTGAAGTTATTCTCCTGTGTGCAACTCTGCATTTCTACTGTGTAGCAAAAGGGATTTTACCAAAAATTCAAAACCCTGCAACAATTTCTACCATAGAAAATGGAAAACTCACAACAAAAATCTGAACTTGTCAATTTCAACAATGAAAGGGGCATCTCCTTATTCACGTTCATGGGAGATTCCCATAATGGTTTTGATAACACCTTATTTCTTTAATATAAAGGAGGGATCCAAAACCGTCTTATTCCCCCCACATGCCTCTAGAATGGTGATGTGATGAGGAATGACTGGGTGCCAACATATTCATTTCTTCTCCTCTTGGGAACCATGGAGAGGAAACTAGAAAGAACAAAACAACCATTTTTAAAAAAGGAGGAAGAAATGAGATGACCTCTGAGCATACACCCTCTACTCTGTCTGCACAAATTGTGGACTTTGGATATGCTGCAAAGGGCACCACAGCTTCATCTGTGCCAAGGATGGTAGGGTTCTCTTCCTATGACATACTGTGCCATGTTAATTTAATTTATTTATTTAAATTTCATTTTATCATCTTCCATGTGGCCAGTATATGTGGTCAGGCTGGTGAGTTACTTTCCTACAAAATATAATATATTCAATCATGTGCTTTGAATAACAATATACTGGAATGTAGTTGAATAGGAAAGCTATTTGATTTGTGACATCTGGGATACCATATAGCACTTGGATTCCAGAGGAGAGGGCAATATTTATGAGGCAATCTCCCTGACAAACCAGAATCTGAAGTTATTAGTCTCAAAGAAGCTGTTCATTACCTGCCTTTCACAAAAGCACATTTTCAGTCATGGAGCAAACAAACCAGGCTATAAGAACCTGACACTATATTGTAAATTATTTTGGAAAATACAGGACTTTGTCTTCCCTGGAATATTACTCTTTACTACCTATCATTTTTCAGAGAAAACTGGCATAACTAGCATTCAGTTTGGTATATGTTTTAATTTTCAGGTTTGCTAAGATTAACATCAATATAATAATCACTATCAATATAATTCAGTTGCAAGAATAAAAGACTGGGTGAGGAAGAGAATCTGGAAAGACAAAGAGAAAAGGCTTTAAAAATCATTTATGCCTTTATTATTTGAAAAATCTTAGGGATGCGGCACATTAGATATTGTTGCACTCATGTAGTGTATTTCATGCCAACATGTATACAACCATACACAGCGTCACACATAATAAAGGGATCTGTAAATATAGCCCTGGTACTGATAGCCCTCAATAACACTGGTAAGTGTAAGTGATTAATGTACTGATCACAGTGCATATTCTTAATATGTCAAAGGACCCTTTTCAAATGAATGTCTCTATTCTTTTATTAAGAGGGAGTCTTCATAATATTAAAAAAACTAGCAGTTTTTTTCCTGTTAATTTATAGTCAATACAGTTATTAAGATTAAGCAAAACATCTGTAAGGCAAAAGATCTGGAAACCAAGACCTATGAAGAGTAGTTGAGGAGAATGGATAAGCTTAGCCTAGAAAAAAAGAAGGCTGGAGGGCAGCATGACAGGGCTTTCATGTGGAAGATGGAGTAAATTTGTTTTCTACAACTCCAGAGGGTAGGACGAAGCAATGGATACAGATCAGGCGATTTCAACTAAACATTAGGAAGAACTTCCCAACAATAAAAGCTACAGTATTTGTGTAACAGATTATCCATGAAGTGGGAGATAGTTGGACAGCAAGTTGTCAGGACTGCTTCAGCAGTGGTTTTCATGATTCTGCAGGGAAGAGGGCTTAATGACCTTTGGGGTCCCTTCTAGCTCTGCAATTCTATGATATTACAAAAAAAAAGTTATATAACACAGTCCTGACACTTGTGGACCTTGTAAAGAGTTTTTTTTCTAATAGGTGGGGTATTAGCAGTGATGATGTAACAGAGCCAGGGATCACAGGATCCAAGACGTGGGATTTTTCTGGTTGTTTCTCATCAACCCCATCCTTTCAGCAGCTGGGAATGAAAAGAGTATCCCCAGGAACAGTGTACCTCTGCCAGCTATCCATGTTGGAATGCAAAATATTTTGGGGAGGCTTTATCTTGAATGGGCATTGTAGATCCTTTATTTTCACAAAAGACCCACTCCCCAATCGCACCAATCCAATGACCCATATATTTGGTCCCTCCTTATAGGGTGGGGTGGCAATGCAGATTTTCATGTTGAGCACTTGCACTTCCAAATTTACCACTACACCACTGGGTACTAATATGCAAATTAATGAAAATAATAACAAATCAAGAGCAAGATTGTAATGTCCCTGTCCAAACCTACAGATAAACTCTGGTTGATGTCATTTTGGGTAATTATTTTATTTGATTGATTGATTGATTTGATTTGATTTGTATCCCGCCCATCTGGTCTATGCAACCACTCTGAGCGGCTTCCAATATAATACAAACAATTAATAAAAACACATAGTTACATAAATCTACAAATGAAAATGTGGAAACCAAGAAAATAGAGTAAAAATAAATTAAAGAGAAATGAGAAGAGAGAATCAAGTATAGATTGGAGGGAAGGCCTGAATAAACATCCATGTTTTTACTTGGCTTTTAAAGATTACTAATTTAATTAGATAACAACACCAAAGATATGACAAGAGAATAAAAATATAACATCCTAATTTCTTTTTGCTTCCCCCTGCCAAACTATTTTCACTAACCTTGCCATCCATCTACACATTCATCTACCTAGGACTGCCAGTGGAAGCAGAAGCAAACACACCTGCATCTCAAAGATTAACACATAATCTATGTTCTATTTCAAGAGGCTTTGGGGAAATCAGCAGGTAGCTGCAGTGGGGAGTTCTTTTAAATTCTCATTAATTGTTTTAAAATAATGTTTTTAAATATTTGTATCTTACAGTTTAACATACAATCTGTATGCATTTAATCATTTGTAGAATTTAACTTATTTTTTAAATACCATTTTGTGTCTCCACTAGGGAAGAAAGGTGGGATACAAAACAAACAAACAAACAAATACAGTACAACCATCTATGGGATCAGTATCTACCGATTCACTTTTCAGCTGCCTGAAAATACTAATTTAAAAAGAGAGAGAGAAATAGGTATTTAATATGTATTTCTGAGGTGTTTTTACCATAACTGGCCAGTAGATAGAGCCAGAGATCATGCAGTATACAACATTCAATATTTCCATGCTTTTCAGGATCCATGAGGAGGGCTTGGAACCAAACCCTTGCAGATACCACAATCCTACTGTATAACAAAGTTAACCTTACTTTTAATCATTTTGACACTAACAACACTGACATTGTAAATGGTGGTATACTGACAGTACTTCTAAATGTTGCATTGGAATGTGGACTTTTTGAATGTTTAGCCATCTTTTTTACTCCTAACTAATTTTCTTTTTGCATATCTAATAAAAACAGTGAGTAAGGATGAACATCAACAAATCTCTTTCCTCAAAATATAATGTTGAAATTTCAAAGCTCTGAGTAAGGATTGCATTAACCAGTACAGTACTAGCTTTTCAACCATATTCCCAAATGGGTCCATTAGTCACCAAATGATTCCAGTGAGCTGTACAAACAAGAATAATCACTAAAAAGAGGTAAAGTAGCTCATCAGGTCATGCTAAATGTAGTTTATCTAATGTTCTCATTTATATGACATGATACCACGCTTGACTTCACAAATAAAGGTAAATATGAATAAATTAGAGTAACATTTTCAGGAACTAATAGCATAGTCCTAATCATGTTGACCATATTTAAGTGACCTATGACTTCAAATGATAAAAACAGCACTGCCAAATGCTTTACAGTCTGTATTAGATTCCACATTATAGCTATTATGCCCACCTCAAGGCTGTGTTTATAGAAATAGTACACTCAACATTTCCATTAATGACAATAACAGATCTGTCAAATTTTTATAATAGAGTTAAGAATTCACTCTAGAAATCATAATACATTATAAATAAAATAATATGTAATTTTCTTGGAACATCAATCTGTAGCTTAAAAAACTGTTAAATTAAACAAAGCAAGATCTGCCACATTATATCATTACTACTCACATGCAAATTGTAGTTTAGCTTCTCGACTAACAATTGTTCCAAACGAGTTTGTTGCTATGCACTGGTAGGTTCCAGCATCTTGACTTTTATTGGGATTATTGATCAGCAAGCTGCCTTCAACCACACTGTAGCGGTAATCCATACCAATATCAACAATAGTTCCATTTAACTTCCACCTGTAGCACAAAAGTGTCCCTGGGTGAATTTCACTAATATTACAGGAGTTTTAATATCTGTATTTGATACAAATACAAAATACATTTACTTTCTACTTCTAAACAAATATGAAATCACAACTTCTTGTACAAGACTAAAATAAAATCCAACAGAGGTGATGTGTGTACTTTTTGAAACATGAGCTAATATGTACAGCACTCCTGCATTGCAGCTTTTTCTGAAGGTAATGCTCTTTGTGAATAACTATTTTAAAATATCATCCAGTTCTAGGAATGAACAATGTATTTCCACTCCACGCAGTAAGGGAGGGTTTTCTAATCTCCCCAGCTCATACCTTAGGTCACGTTGTTTAGAATTACGTTGGCAAAAGAAAAAGAAAGCAAAAAACAAACAACAAAATATTGTACCATTTTAAATGTTAAAATTTTTATTTTTATTTGGCCGTTCATGGATCAAAATCCTCAGACATAGGAGTGCAAATAAATGTACTGTACTGTATACTTATACAAAACACCATGACCAGATAAGGACACAGGTAATAGATAACGGGATAATGCTTTGTTAACATTGGAAAGGGAGTATCAGAGTCTGAATTCCTTCAGTTAGTAAATTATGGACAGCTAAATGATAAACACACTTGACTTCTTAAGGAAACTACAGTATATCCATAATCATCCAGAGAACACTGTCCTGGCCACAATGGTTGTGTAGGCATTTTACACAAATACTGTATACTTCCAAAAAATTGTCTACAAGCTGTCAAAAATACCATTCCAAATCAAGGGGGAGGCTGGCCTATAGACAACTCCCAAAACCTAAACAACTACTGACAGACAACAGGCAACGTAACATGGAGATGGAGATAGGAACAAGACCCTTTCCCAAACATAGATGCCAGCTGTGTCCTCTTATCTACACTTGCAACATCAAGGATCCCAACTTATGCCATCTTCTGACGGCAATGGCCCTCTACTTTCTACCTAGGGCAAATAGGACAATCTCTGTGATGATATTATTTACAATTAATTGTGCCAAAATCTTTCAACAAGCATCTAATCCCCTCTTGAGTGTGTGATATCAAAACCATATTATCTAGATATAGTAAGCTGACAATTTCTCAGCTGAAACTGAAATTGGAAAATTAGGCTTTTGAGTTCAGAAATTACATCATTTATACTACATGATCTTTAGGGTCCCTCCCAGCTCTGCAGCTCTAAGATTTACATAAGAAAACAATTTTGCCAGCACTGCTGACCATCAATTAATATTTTCTAAGACTATTTCACATATCTTCACCTGGAAATTTTTTCTATAGTGGTGCCTTGACTTACGAACACCTTGACCTATGAACATTTTGAGTTATGAACAACTCTGTTCACAACATTTTGCTTTGACTTGTGAATGGAATTTTGACTTTCAAACAGAAAAAAAGAAAGGGGGAAAGGGCAGGAAATTCAATTTTCTAACTGTAGGTGGCAACAAGGCTGCTTCTTTGTAGCTCTTTCGCACAGGCAGTTAGAGAGTGTGCGATTCAAGGAGGCTGCCTGCTAAGGTAAGATGCTGCTTTATACTTTGTAAAAACTGTTCTGGGTATTTTTGCAGTGTGATTTTCAGCTGGGGGGGTTATGTTTCCGTGCTGTGATGAGTCTTGGGGGGTGTTTGTTTTTTGGTTTCCCCTCCCATTTCCGATGGCGGGGTTGGTTCCTCTTTGGAGTGTTTTTTCCCATTTCTGATGGGTCTTGGGGAAGTTTTTTGGTTCCCCTCCATTTCCAATGGATCTTGGGAGGCGTTGGTTGCTTTATTGGGGATTTCCCCCTATTTACAATGTGTCTTGCATGCTTTTTACTTTGTTCTTTTTGCATTTCTAATCTGCTCCATTTGTTTTTGCAATGGTTCATTCATGTTTCTCTTGCTTTTTTGCTTCGTTCTCTTTGCATTTCTAATCTGCTCTGTTTGTTTTCTGTGCTTTTGCAATGGTTCATGCATGCTTCCCTTCCTTTTTTGATTTGTTCTCTTTGCTGGCATCTAAAATGGATTTTAGTCTTTTGCTTTTAAAATCAGAAATGGTTTTGCAAAGGTTTCTTTGGCTGCTGGGGGTCTAAAATGCAGTTTAGACTTTTGCTTTTAAAATCTGAAATGTTTTTCCAAAGGTTTCTTCTGGTGGCTTCTGGAATCTAAAATACATTTTAGTCTTTTGCTTTTAAAATCAGAAATGGTCTTGCAAAAGTTTCTTCTGGTGGCTGCTGGGGTCTAAAATGCATTCCCCTAGTGATAGATGACGGATTAACCAGATTTGAATTTGTTCCTATGGGAATGAATGCTTTGACTTACAAACCATGCCCTGACATAAGAACAAAAATCATCCAGAATGGATTAATCAGTTTTCAATGCATTCCTATGGGAAATGCTGCTTTGACTTGCGAACATTTTGACTTGCGAACACCATTCCAATACGCATTAAGTTCATAAGTCAAGGCACTACTGTACTTCAATACTTTAAGCAGTTTTTTAACCTCAGGTGGTGTCACTGGAAGCCATGGGGCAGTTTCATTCAGCTCTGGATACTTATAAGATAGTGCCTAACAATTGGGGAAGTTTGAATTCAAAATCTCTGTGAAGAATTATTTCCACTTATCACACATTATATATGCATCAACATCAAGTTTTGGATGCTTCGATTTTTGTGACACTAATGCCCAATATTTGGCAGCATCCTAATTCAGGCTGTTGCCAGAGATGCTTACAGTAGGACATATTATTTTATTTTAGCAGATGTTTATATCTTTTATGGGTTTGTACAAGATCTAATAATTGGATACCATTATGATTTTGTTTCAGTCTTTTTAGCTAAATTGTTTAGTTCTCATTTAACTGAAGTAATTGACTGTTTGATAGTCCGTTCTTGTGATAATAGCCACTGTTACTTTGTCTGTTATTTTTATCCTCTCATCTGGTCATGGGATATGTATAAATACATGGGACATTTATTTGCAACCCGTTTTCTAACCATGAAAGCTCATAATGAAATAAACCAGTTAGCCTTTAAAGTGTTGCAATATTTTACCTTTTATTTTATTTTATTTTGCCAATAGGCCAAGGCAGCCAAACATGTCTACATCTTTGGAAACTGAATTCAGACTTATATAGTTATTAAGTAAAATCCTGTGGACTGAATCTCATACTACTACTAAGAGCAGACATGGTGAAATGAAGATTTATTAATCGAAACTGATCTCTGTGAAGGGCTAATATTGGATTTAACCATGCTAAGCCACACTTCAACATTATGGAGACTAGAGTGATATAAAAACATGACTAATTAGACTGATACAGGAAGCAGAAGGAAAACATAATACAACAGGGTGAGAGATATGCATACATGACCGAGAATACATCAAATGGAAATTACAGTGACAATTCTCCCAAGAATATTTAGATTTAATTATCTTCCCTCCTGAAATGCGTTCATTTGTTTGTTTGTTTGTTTAGGGAGCTCACTTGAAACAGACACTCTAATGAATTTTCCTTTGCACAAAAACATAATCATGTTTGTAGTATATAGATAGTTTATACTGTAATACCAATCAATGAGTATTATGGGTAGCTTACACTAGAATACTACAAGTATTCTACACTGAGAATATTTTTATAAAGCCTGTTTAATTTATATCCATATACATTCACAAGAACATAGACATACTATTTGAAATTCTACTATTTCAATTCATTGAACTAAAAGATGAGAAGAATCCAAGTTAATCCCAATTCATGATCTTCCCACTGAAATATATAACATCCAGACAATGCTAATTTATGTTTCATAAAGATTTTATGAAACAAACCTTATGGTTGGTTTAGGATTTCCTTTAGCTTCACAGCTCAGTTTGACTTTTTTTTCCTCTGAATCCAGTGCAAAAATAACACTGCTTGGCTCCTGGATGAAGACTGGTCCATGCAGTGTGTTATCATCTGTGGAATAAAATATAATGATAGGTACATTTCATGTAACTATTTCATGGTCATTGTTCTGCAGAAGATATTCAGAAAAGAGCACATGTATGATGAGGTCACATCACCTTCAATACATGAAAAGACTAAAGTGTTTCTCCTTCCCACTTTTTCTAGTTTAGAGAAAAATGGTTAAAATTAAATGTAATTGAGGTTAATAAAATTATGTATACTCCGGAGAATTTGGCTAGAAACACAGATTTCTCTTTCCTTCTCTGAACATTAAACCTTAGGGTCACGCAGTTAAATTGGCTGATTATCATTATAGGAAAGACAAAAAAAGTATTACATCAAACAGTACCCAAAACAGATTTATGTAATTCACCGCTGTAAAATGTGCTAGTGGTCATTAACCTGCATAGCTTTAAAAGAGATTAATCAAATTAATGGAAGATATGTCTATAAACTAAGAGTAATCATTTTAACCAATGTGATAGCTCTGTGTTCAACATCAGTGTATTTGATAACTGTTTGTGTTTATTGAACAGTAATGCAGGTTGTTACTGTCATACTATCTAGGCCAGTGACTTCCAGCCTATTGTCTGTGGGCTACTAGTGGTCCATGCAGGTACTCAGGGATCCATGAAGGATTACATTGATTGATCAATGAGATTCTAATCTGCAGAATGAGTAAAATTGATTAGTCAGCAGCAGACACACAGAGAGCTGGCCTTCTCCTTCCCCTAAATGACAATATGAAAAGCGCAATATATTTGTGAGTACGCATGGTAAATTATTTGAAATAGTTGCATTTGAACATTTCTTGATGTAGAAGTGATAATGCCTCTTAGAAAAAAAATAGATATTTTACTCCTGTCAGCCACAAGTTGCATTTAGAAGTCTTAAATGGCCTGTTCACATGGTGGTCCAGAATAGGTAAGTTCAAAAAGGCAATTTAGTAAATATATATTAAGGAAAATAAAACAGTTCTTTCTTTGTATAAAATTTCCATATATTCCTACATAACCTCCCTAACAAGAACATCACAGCATAAACACAGACAGCAACCAAAATAATTCACATACAGTACACAGAAAATAAAACAATAATATCTATGATGTATACATCAACATTGCTGCCATCTGTATAAACAAAAGAAGTTATGAACCAGTTATAAACCTTGTCATGGTAAACACAAGGTTTGGAACTTTCAAATTTTTTTTTAGACTCCCAGATTTTACCCAGAATCCCCCAGGCAGAACTCTGGGAATAGGAGCCCCAAAATAGTAGGTTTCAAAGCAGCACTCTTGTACCTCTATGGCGCTCTCTTGAAAAATGAATGAGCACCCTGGGAATCATAATGCTACCTGGGACTCACTACCCTGATAAGCGCAGTCTCAGTGCCCATCAGGCTCTCTACAAGACACCTCATAGAGAGTATGAAGTAAAGGAGGGGTGCTCTGAAACCTGCTGTTTGTAGGCTCCTGTTGTCAGAATTCTGCCTTCATATTCTGCGCATATTCTGGGAGTAGAGTCCAAAACTCCAATCCCTAATACACATTTTTCACATAGAATACTGTATAAATTTAGAGTGCTAAATCAAGAACTACACATGTGAATATTTAATATATGTACACATATGCTGCCAATTAACCAGTTTTATTTTGTTAAGATGGCTGTCCATGAATTTATAATGCAAGGCAGCAAGAATATTCTTCTTGAGAATAATCTATAAGCAGGACTCAACACTTTTAGATTATTAAACTATTAGCTTGAATTGACATGCCCAACCCCGACAAATCTAAAATGTTTCCTCAGTACTTCAATTCAATCAAGCAGGGGCAATTCCTCTCACATGAGGCGTAACACAGAATGACCCAAGTGAGACACTCCAGTAGTCATCTGTTGCCCACCTTCATGGGAAACATGACTTTATTACTGTACTATACAAACTGGACTATACACCATCTATGTTTCAGACTCTTAATGGCCAGTGATTCACCCAGGGTCTCCAAGGCATTCTCACTGTACCTTGTGATCAACACTTGGACCCATCTGCCAATCTGGGACCAAAGCCCCGTCTCCTAAAGCCAGAATCGTAAGACATAAGACATAAGGAATTTATTTGTCATTGCACTCACAAGTGGGTGCAACGAAATGAGGTGCTCTTCCCCAAGGTAGAACTGGACAACACCACTACAAAAAAAAAAGTTAAAATATACACAACACTCACCATACAGATATATATACCCCATTTCTCCCAGCAATTAAAATTCCACCAAAAACTTATGACCCCACATTTAAACTCAATACTGCA